AAAAAAGAAAGAACAAAAACCCCCCCTAAACCCCAAAAAAAAAAAAAAAAAAAAAAAACTAATTTAAAACATGAGATGACTAAATTCCAAATAGTTAAATCTGAATTTAAGCATTATAAATTATATAGTTATCACATGTTTTTAATTAATAAAAAAATATTTTGTTATTCTTATCTAAAAATAATGCCCCTACAACATAGTTTGTGTACAACAAAATTATAGAAGTATTTAATAAATCAAAAAATGATAATGTATTAATATAGTATTGTTCATCTGCTTGCTAAATTGTTTTATAAATTCTTTGTATCAAATTGCTAACAATATATAAAATAAATGCTTACTTTTTTTTTTTATCAAATGGACAGAAGGTAGCCTTTTTATATCCTAATTTATTATAATTTTTAATTTCATTTTCAAGTCACTTGAACATATTATTTCCATTTTGTGCTTCAAGTTGAATTGTATGAAACTTATTGTAAAGACTTATAATATATTCACTATTAGGATTTATTGCACAATCAACTAAAATGATTACTAAGTTTTTCTCATTATTAGCTAATAAATGTAATTTTTCTTTATATTTATAACATGTAATTGATGATATATATTCACATTCAAATAACTTTAAATATTTTTTTCTTTGTCTGTATATAAACAGGATGAAAGCTTAATGATATAGCAAATTTAGAAACATGATTATGTATAAATTTAAGAGATACTTCAAGAAGATGTAAATTTTTTAAGTTATATTTTTCTATATGAAATCTAATTATTACAAACAGCCAATATTTCTTAAACATTTACTATGTGACTTTTTAATTTTAATATTTTTTCTTTGTTTTTCTTTGACCATATTATTGTGTATACAATGTCTTGTTTCACAAAAGATAACCTGCTGACCTTTAATAATGTGACCTCTAGAAATTCATATTGTTGTTTTTGTTTTTTCTTAAAAATTTTCAAGCCATGCATGTGCATGTTCAGCAGAATCAATATTCACATAAAATGTACTAATAATTTGATTTATTACAATATTTTCATTAGTAATTAATAGGCTGAATTCACAAAATTCATTTATTATATATGAATAATTTGTAGGTAAAATCTCTGCCATTTGTTTTATAAGTTCAGATTCTAAAATTGACTATAAAATTTTAAAAAAATAATTATTAAATAAAA